CGTTGTGTTTGAGTACAGGATCTGCTCCATCTTTGGCCTTCAAGTGTGAATATACATATCCGTTTCTGTCCATGCCCCGACCGGCCCCGCTCCACCAACCCTAACTCTCCATCTCAGCTTCGAGGAGGCACATTGTGAATCACCAAGCAGGGCCATTACTCACCATGTCTGACCCTTTCAAAATAACTTCATAAATATTCCATGGGCCGACGTAAACCCTAGAGTTGGAGAAGATGGGCTCGGTGAGTTGCAGATTCGATTAAGCCCCATGTTCCAGCAGAAACACCGTGACACAATTAATCTTTCAGGGATCTGAGGCAGGGCATCAGCAAATGTGAGGAGGAAAGAGTATGATTTAATGGAAGGAGGTGAGAGAGACACCTGCAGAGTGTTCTGAATTATTTAGAGCCTCAAAGCACTTACAGCTAATTCAAATAAAAAAGCTAACCTCTTTTTTACCAAACCAAGCAATTCTTCAAATTTGAATTCTGCAGTTGTTGAGATCACACGGAAATTTAACAAACATCGTCTTATATGTTTTTGTTTCTTTTTGAAAGCAGTCAAATAGCAAAAGAGAAAGACAAATAGAAAAGAAAGACAGTGATACCACAGCAGGAGGAAAATAAATTAAGATCCAGCTCATCCAGAATCCCTCCAAGGCTCATTCTCTCATGATAGCAAAGTCAAACGTCACCAATGAGGCAGATAAACTTTGTCATTGTCAACATTTATCTGCCATTTTATTCTTCTGTCTTATTCTCAGTTGATATAAATGAGCAAAAATGACTTTGAGGCACCAGAGTTGGGTGTTTGGTTTATATGAAACTTTTACTTTAAGAAAAAAAAAATAAATATATATATATATATATATATATATATATATATATATATATATATATATATATATATATATATATATATATATATATATATATATATATATATATAGCTTTGATCAGGTTGGTAACAATGACATGCTGTTCTATAGTCTCCTCAGCAATATGATCTCTCTTTTGCCAAACAATGCTGAAGTTGATTTTCAGACTGTAGCTAAAATAGAGGGCTGTCTCTGCTTTTGGTCAATCTGACTCTGGATGAGCTTAACTTGGATCAAAACCAAAATAAATAGGAATAGAATAAGACAACATATCAGTGGTTAACCAGGTTTCAATAGTAAGTAGGAAGAGCTAAAATGGAGAAATTGAGGTTATAGTCTGGTGTCGGTGAACAAAGTAGATGGTTAAGGAGTAATGGATGCAGTAGGGGACGAAAAAGCAATATGCTGCCATAAATAAAGGAATGCATCACCAAAGCAGCGGGTTAACTGTTAGCTAATTGGATAACCTTTAATTGTAAGATTTATTTTGTTCTTTTCCTTATCATAAAGTTGAAGTGAACTCAGACCAGCTAGAGGTGTAGAGTGGTGGCAGGGTTAGAGGCAGACGCAGAATCCACTTGTACAATAACATATATATTTTTTTCATTTTAGATAAAAGCGCCAGGTAAGTTACTAAATTTGATGTTTATTTTCACATGAAGCCAACAGTCTTTCTAAAAAGTGGCCATATAGTCAAGAATGGGATTGCTTGAATGGTTAGGGGCACGGCAAAAACATGCCAGATCGCCAGCATCAATAACAAACGTAGAATGTATTTTCCTTGCGCGGTGATCATCCCAGGAAGGTGAGTCTCTTAAAATGTTATGCCTGCTTTACAATGGAAAGAGTGCTCTGACTTAAATAGGACACTATCCAAACTGATACAAAGCTACTGCAAGACAGACACAGCCTCCAACATCCTCATTAGTGTCAGCTGTTCCTATGTTTTCCCAGAGAAAGGTCAACTGAACGATGACGGTTTCATCGCTGAGCTGAGACTCATTTCCCTGTCATTTTCCCAGAGGGAAGAGCACACTGAAGTACCAGAACACATGCTGAATATTCACAGAAAGACTTTTCCCAGAGCCGAGGTATCACTGATCCAGTGTTACTCCCTCAGCATCGCACCCTGAGCTGACGCTGCATCCATCCAACTCTTAAGATCGTTTGAATGCTTTAATGCATGCAGCTGTTTTATGAAATCAGTCTAAACATGATTTGTGGAGGCACAGGGGTTCAGTAGAGAAAATTTGTTAACAAAGAGCATCATGATGACAAAGGAACGCAGCAGACAGGTCAGAAAGAAAGTTGTGGGGAAGGTTAAATCAGGTTTACTTATGCTCAAAGCCCAAAATGCTGGACATTGCACAGAGCACTCCTCAATCCATCATCTAAAAATGGAATGAGTATGACACTGACCTACCAAGACAGGCTGTCCACTTTAACTCACAGGTGGAGCAAGGAAATCATAAATCAGAGAAGCAGAAAGGAAAACGCTCAAGTGGACTCGCTGACTACAATTGAACATTATGACCTTCATGCATGCACCTGTCACCTTGAACACACCATCTACAAGGAGAGGCGTTTTTGAGGCATTATCAGGGGAAATGCTTAAAGAAATACTGTTAGATAATGCATAAGAAATTGGGACTGAGGTGAAGGTTGCCCTTCCAACAGGACCAGAAACCTCAGCATGCAGCCAACTCTACGATGGAATGCTTTAGACCAAAGCCCATTTCTGAATTAGCAAAAAAATCTATCCATAAACACACAGTAGCATAGACCAATATCCTAAATGGACTCAGTCCCCCTAAATAATAGATGCCGCAAAGAAAGCAGCCACTAGGGTAGATCTCAGAACATCAAGTCATGGTAAGATATTTCCCGAGAGAAACCTTCAGGTGATCATCATTATGTTGTAGAAAAACAAAAGGTTCATGGGTGTTTGCATATACTCAGATATTCTAAGTACATTTGATACAAATAATGCACTTTTCTCAGCATCCCTAGTTTTAATTTGGACTAATTTAAAAACTTTTCTTTATAACAAATTTTCTGAGGGATGAAGTAGAATTTTTTTAAGTTAAAAGGAAAACATCCAGTCTGTTAGAAAAAAGGTAAAAGGGGCATTTAGGAAAAAAAAACAGATGAAAGAAACTGGAAACTTAAAAAAAAAGAGCTTTGAAGCAAACACTAACATGCAATAAATAAAATATTAGCATCAAAGAAACTCAGAGGACTTAGAGCTCAACAAATGAAAAAAAAGAGAAAACAAAGCACATGAAGAAATTTAAACCCTATTCACCCACTGATTCTCTTAGAGTTAACGCATTAGTACCGTTAATAAGTGGTTCCGTTCTGCCATTTTTTTTTTCACATGCCAAAAAGTAAATGTGTGCAGAAATACACTATATTGCCAAAAGTATTTGCTCACCCATCCAAATTATTGGAATCAGGTGTTCCAATCACTTCCATGGCCACAGGTGTATAAATTCAAGCACCTAGGCATGCAGACTGTTTTTACAAACATTTGTGAAAGAATGGGTCGCTCTCAGGAGCTCAGTGAATTCCAGCGTGGAACTGTGATAGGATGCCACCTGTGCAACAAATCCAGTCGTGAAATTTCCTCGCTCCTAAATATTCCACAGTCAACTGTCAGCTGTATTATAAGAAAATGGAAGTGTTTGGGAACGACAGCAACTCAGCCACGAAGTGGTAGGCCACGTAAACTGACGGAGCGGGGTCAGCGGATGCTGACGCGCATAGTGCGAAGAGGTCGCCAACTTTCTGCAGAGTCAATCACTACAGACCTCCAAACTTCATGTGGCCTTCAGATTAGCTCAAGAACAGTGCGCAGAGAGCTTCATGGAATGGGTTTCCATGGTCGAGCAGCTGCATCCAAGCCATACATCACCAAGTGCAATGCAAAGCGTCGGATGCGGTGGTGTAAAGCACGCCGCCACTGGACTCTAGAGCAGTGGAGACGCGTTCTCTGGAGTGACGAATCGCGCTTCTCCATCTGGCAATCTGATGGACGGGTCTGGGTTTGGCGGTTGCCAGGAGAACGGTACTTGTCTGACTGCATTGTGCCAAGTGTAAAGTTTGGTGGAGGGGGGATTATGGTGTGGGGTTGTTTTTCAGGAGCTGGGCTTGGCCCCTTAGTTCCAGTGAAAGGAACTCTGAATGCTTCAGCATACCAAGACATTTTGGACAATTCCATGCTCCCAACTTTGTGGGAACAGTTTGGAGCTGGCCCCTTCCTCTTCCAACATGACTGTGCACCAGTGCACAAAGCAAGGTCCATAAAGACATGGATGACAGAGTCTGGTGTGGATGAACTTGACTGGCCTGCACAGAGTCCTGACCTCAACCCGATAGAACACCTTTGGGATGAATTAGAGCGGAGACTGAGAGCCAGGCCTTCTCGTCCAACATCAGTGTGCGACCTCACAAATGCGCTTCTGGAAGAATGGTCAAAAATTCCCATAAACACACTCCTAAACCTTGTGGACAGCCTTCCCAGAAGAGTTGAAGCTGTTCTAGCTGCAAAGGGTGGACCGACGTCATATTGAACCCTATGGATTAGGAACGGGATGTCACTTAAGCTCATATGTGAGTCAAGGCAGGTGAGCAAATACTTTTGGCAATATAGTGTATGTTAGGGAAGTGACTCACTTAATGAATTTAAAGATAAATGGGAGTTGTTGTTTTTTTGAGAACCTTTAAAATAATTATGCGGCACAGATGTCTAGAAAAAGTGAGCATAGCTTAGGAAAAGGGCATGTCAGCCTAAAAAAGAAACATAAATTGCCTCCTCTGTTCCCACTGGGAGCAGCAGGGGTCAGTCTGGAGCAGAAGTGAGAAAAAATTGGCAATTTAAACAAGTAAAGACAAGAAAAGGACACGTCTGTTTGGATTGAAATTGGAAAAGAGTCAGAGGAAGTACAGGAGGTTCAGCGACACATTGTGATGAGGAATTTGTTAGAACCTCTGGGCAAAGCAATCTCAGATCCCTTTTTATTTCAATTCATATACTTTCCCTGAAAGTGTTGTGTTGGTAGAAGGTGTGAATACATTAAATGTAGTGCATAACTATGAATAGTGCAAGTTTTTTTTGACTTACGAAGCTCGCCGACTTTCAGGATCTCACAGAGCATTTTGGTTAACTCGATGCTGCTGCGGCCAAACGGACATTCATGCTTGTCTTCCCTGCTGCTGTTCTCCAAAACAATCTGGACAAAAGAGAAGAAAAAAAATTAAATTAGCCACCTGCAGACACTGTATTTCACCCACATGCACTTCTTCCTGCTTCCTTCTTTCTGCAAGGTAATTTAAAGTACAGATTGTTCTCACCTCTTCACATAGGCAGAATTAAATGACTGTTTTAAATAAGGATTTCATATCGTTCCGTCCTTCAGACCTCTAACCTTCTAACATTCCAACACCTTAAAAACATAAGCATTAAAGATTTTTAATGGAAATTTTCCTTTATATGGTTTGGAGCAATTATTTTGAAGCAAAAGAGAACAGACCTATAACTAGAGAAGGTTTATTTACTATCTTTACAATAAATTTGTTTGGATTTTTGTTGTATTTGCACAATTATGGATGTTTCTATTGCAATAGTGTCTAAAGATTTAGTTTTTCTCCTGCTCTTTATATAGGCAAAGGCCATTTGACATGAAGTTACCAGCGTTTTACTGCAGTGACAGGCTTAAGATGTTGGGCCCATGTTCATGAAAACCATAAATAAATAAAAGAAAAAATAAATTGATTTAATAATAACAAAAAATAACTACATTCATAGATACACAAATAGGATAAAATATTCAAATATATTCATAAATAATAGAGAAACCAAGGAAAAAAGAAAGACTTGGCCTTTTTAATGACCAAAATATATTTATTTATTTATTTATACATTTAAAATGTGCATTGATTTATTTTCATATTTATTTTCTGTTTTGCCATTTTTGTTACTCATTAAGAACCAACACCTAAATGAAAAAGAAACATCCGGTGGGTCAGTGTGCATCAACACAACCTTAGTTGTTAGGGCATCTTAGTTTAATTGCAAAGTGATCTATGAGTTATAGTAAAGCTATAAACAGGCTTGATAATAAATGGAAGTCAATGCAAAGTCCTCAGTGAGTATTTCAAACATGGAGGTGTGTATTTGTGTGTTCTTACCCTGATGTAAGCATCCTGGTGATGTTTGGCAAAGTAAAGCATGTTATCCAGAGCCAGCATGCCTGGAGGAATCTGGGTGAAATCCACGGCTGGATTGACATGATTCTGTGGAAAACAAAAGCACAGAGCGACAATCAACACACACCACCGATGCTCATTTTTCAACCTTTGTTATTTCAGGCCAAGTCAACCAAACATGAATAGAACAGTCAAAGCGGGCGCAGTAAAAACTGTTTTCAGCTGCTGTGAGAGGAAGAAACTCATCTTCCCACTAAAAACAGTGAGCATGAGGCAAATAAGGTTAATAATGATCACAAAGCTCATGGTTAGAGAAGCGAGAAAGGTGGAGCACCTTAAATATCTGGATGAAAACTTAAAGGACCGACATCTGGAAAAACAAACTTCTAACTAACATCAGCATAGTTATTCTTCACCAGTTCCTGAAAAAAACTACAAACAGCCATTTGGATCGACTTAATGTAAAAACATTAAAACTATTTCCTCTCTGACTTAAAGGTATAGTGGAGGATTTCCATAAATTTTTGGAAAAAAAATACACATGCACAACCCTGTACCTGCTCCCAAGAGGGAACGCTTATCCAACGTTGCTGTTTGCATCGCTCATAAAAGCTTTTTTCCCCCAGCCTTTATTGCCATTACACTGTCACAAGTACAGAGCAACAAATTTAACTCTCTGTATATAACCCATCCCCTTAGGGAGCAGTGGGCTGCCATTGTGTAGCGCCCAGAGAGCAGTGTGGGGTTGTATAGAGACCTAGAGTGGGTTTTGAACAAACAACCTCAGGATTCCAAGCCCTATGACCTAACCACTAGGCTGCCACTCCATCCAAGCTTCATTTCCAAAAGAAGATTACCAATTTCTCCACTATGTCAGACTCACCACTGGTAAGTGAAAATGGGGACGAGCACTTAGGACGGCCTTATGTAAATATATCACCAGAATGATTGACAATTAGGAGGACCACTTACTTTGATGATCCACCTGGAAAAATAACATCCTCCACTATACCTAAACCTCGCCTGTTCTTGGTAAATTAGAATTACCAAGTATTTTCTCCACATAAAGCAGTAAGGTAGCAAACAGTGGAGACAAGGCCGTCAAACTGGCCTCATCTATAATGAGCACACAGCAGTGTTAGAGTACAGGGGATTAAAGGCCTTGTGGCCCACACCAAGAAAAGGTAAGTTTAGCTGAAATACTTCTGCTGAAATAAAATAAAAACTGCAAAAAAAGGTCTACTGATATAGAATTTTTAAACTTACAATGAAGCCAAGCTTTTTGTAGTCTCTGGTGTACATGGATTTACGTTTCTCTATGCTGCCGCCGTTGTTAGGCTCGCATTCCACGTCAAAGGCAATTCTTCGAAGCTCAAAGATGATGTCCCTCTGAGCCTGAAAACACAGAGGGGGATATATTTAAAGGGCAGACGCCTTGTCAGAGCTTTATTATGCAGGAATCCTGCTGCCTGATCTGAGCTCTGATCCAAATCTGGGCTTAGATCAGGCAATCAAACAATCAGCTTATGAGGCTAATTTCTATATTGTTTACTGTTATTACCATCATTATCATTAAAGTCGGTGGTCCACTGTGAACTAATCTTTTCAAATGTAGAAGGTATTTCTTGTACGTATCTAGAATGTGACCAGAGAAGCAGGTCTTTTTACCTTAATAATCTTACAGGCTAAAATCCACTCCACAAAACTTTTCACAATGTCCACAGTTCAATTGTTACAAAAAAGCACCAATGTCAATGAATCAATAAAAACCATCATGTCACCATGAATAAAGACAGTCCATTTGATTCTTGTCAATAATGAATGCAGAAAACAATCCCTATGCTGGAAAAACAATCCAATTCATGTTTTATAGCCATTGAACTATGTCAATGGCTATAAAACAACTCAAAATGTAATATTTTACTGTATCTCATAGACAAAGTAGTGCATCATTTAAATAGTGAACTGTTTTCTAAACTAGATAGAAATCTGTGTGGATCTACATGGATGCTCTGTTCAGATGAGATCAGAAGCCTCAGAAGTTTCATTTTAAAGGCACATGTAAACCCATTTGTGTCACTGTACATATAACTGAATAAAACACTCTCACACTATTGATGGCAGTGAAATGGTTAAAAAAAAAACTGACCAAAGCTGATGGGAAAATAGATGGTGAGAACTGTAAGAAGCTAAAAAAATACTTGAGACCAAAAAAAGGGGTTCTGAAAGACAACCAGCTTACCAGCTACTTATACTGAAGCTATACAGTCTTACAGTGAACTCTTCAAACATAAAACATGCATAACAGTGTGAATGTTATGCATGTTTTATGTTTGAACAGTAGATATTTTTTCCATATTAAATAAATTAATGATAAATGACAGCAAATGCCCTAAGCCAACTGCTCCCTCAGACCCCACCGAGGGACAGTTAAGAAATAATATTTATTTGCACATTCAGTCTCTGGAGTTCAACTTAAACTTTCCCTTTATTTTTTATGAAATGTTAAAATTTCCCCAGATTTTCTGGGGATCCAGACCTGGTCCTGAGGATCCATCTTGGTCATCATGCGGTCCTCGAGCAGGTTGAAGTTGAGCACCTGAAGCACGTACAGCTGATGTGCCATCTCATCATTAATGGGTGTGGGGCTCCGGATCACGTTCTGCATGTGCACAAAAAAAAAAAAAAAATGGTGGGTAACCAAAACTCCAATGAAATATTGGAATAAACTAAAGTTTCAGACAAACTTACAGTAAGAATGATGGAGCGCAGCTGCTTCTGAGCTAGAATGTGGGCCATCTCCTGTGGATTTAGACATAAAAAAAGAGGAAGAGGGAGAAATAGGGAAAGACAAAAATAATATAAGAGAAAGAAGAGTTATAAAATTGAGACAACACATTAAGGGAAACTCCTGATCTTTATATTCTCTATACAAAAATGAAAATACTAAAACGTTCATGGCAGTTTATGCAGTGACAGGCGGCAAAAGAAAAAGAAAAGGAAGCCTGAGACAGAAACTTAAATAAAAAAAGGGGATTGTAGATGCACTAGCTGATGTCTTCTACAGTGCAAACTACGAAGTGTGCTAATCAAGGGTGCACTTACTGTCAGAGGACAATTTAGGATGTCCACAATGTTCTCATCAAACTACCATGTCGTGTGCAGTGAGGAAACAAGGTCAGAGACAGAGACAGAGACGGTGAGTGAGAGAATGCGGTGTGGAAAGAAAAAGAAAAAAAGTCAAATTTCTCTGTAGTGTAACTTGTGGTTCTCTTGGGGGCGGAGGGTTGGAGATCAGAATTATAGCTTCAATGATTGTTAAGGTCCTTTCATGAGCACACGCAAGCCACAGAGAACCAAACTATATGCCCACATGCCTAAATATGCAACAGAGATGGAATATCCAGTGTGGTGTAAAGAAACTGCTGTCTCTGCAGAACTTTCTATGGATGCTTTCGGATATTTATAGATATATAGTTTATGCTTAAAAAACATGGAGTCCAATGGCCCAGAAAAAGTTTGCTCAAACCAAGCAAATAAAAAGTACTGTGAGTCTCCAATTCAAAACTAGAATTTGCTTGTATTTGTATGAACCTCTCTACATCCTAACATGTCTTGAGCTCTGACGGCTACACATGAGAAAGTGGCTGTGAGTTGGCATCATTATTCATTTATGTGAGCGTGCATCATAGGGCCCCTGAGGTGCTGATGCAGGGAGTGTGCTATTAGCTACAGGTGAGAGGGAGAAATGAGAGACTGAACATCACTTTGGCAAAGAGGAAGGGAAAGACATGTTGTCTTCTAACACAGAGTCACATGTTCATTGACTTCACTGTTACAACACAGAACTGCTGATGTTTGCAGCATGACACAGTAGAATCGGCCATGTTTGAAGCCTCACCTGTCTCTTCTCCTCTGGAGCTTTGAGGAACAAAGCGTTGATGACAGCGATGGTGTAGGTCTGAATGTCTTGATCCGTCCTGGAATTTAACAAAGAAAGAATGATTTATTAAAATTAAGTAATAAATACAAGGGTATCAATCAAAAAAGTAAGGTTTCATACCCCTGAAGATGTGGAATGAGCTGTCCAATAGTGATCTCCTGCGCCACCTTGTGGTAGAGATCCTGACTGTTGAGCACCATGGACTCCAGGATGGCCAAGGAACGCTGCAGTACCGCCGTGTCCATGGCTGACTTGCTCACATAGCTGGCAATCTTTAGAAAATCAGAAAACAAAAGTCTTGAAATGGGGAAAAAATGTTATTTTATATTTGCTACATGACTGCATCAGGAAACAATGACAAGATGTGACATGTATAGAAAAAAAACAACACAAAAGCATTTATGAGACTGCAGAAACTATTACTTGATGATGATAAACAAAAATTAAAAAGAAAAACACTATAAAAAGTTTCCAATAAATGCAGAGCTTGTGTAATGTGACATTTTCCTGGCTGACCTTTTTGATAAAGGCCACAGAAAACGTGTCCCAGGAGACAATCCCATGGTCCATCAACTCTACAAAGGCCGTCAGAGTGAAGGACAGCAGGTCACCGAAACTGTGGGGTAAAAAACACACACAAACAATGGGGAACTTCTCAACACCAGATGGCATGGAGCGGCATGTCGATGCATAGCCCAGATGGCTCGGGACGCAACGAAAATCAAGCGGTCAGCAAAGAAAGCAGAGAGAAAGAGAGAGAAAGGTAGCAGAGAGGGAAAGAGTGAGGCCTAAAATAAGCACCAGGCTGCAAAATGGCTGGCTGAAAAAAGACAGAAATACAAACTGACATGGTAGGAGACATGGGAAAGATTTATGAGACACAGCACAGGCAGAATGGCTGTCAGCAATCAGCAGGGGCTGTCAGAAGGTCAGTAGAAGCTGGATGGAGTTCGTTAGGAACAGAGAGTTGTTTTTATAACAGAGCAAAGTCATGCAGCTACATAAATAAAAGAAGAAAAATGTTTTTATCAATGATGCTGTGAGAGACAAATGAGGCCAAAGCAAGAGCATGTTAAATATTTGATTATCATCATTCTGCGGAAAAAAAACAAATGAAAAAAAAACAAGCGACTAATTTCCACTTCTCCACTTAGTCAAAAGAATGTAGTAAATACTGTTATCTGCTGCAAAACATTTAACTTGTAACCATATTTCTCTTTCACCAAAAGTGGCTCAATGCTGACCTCTGCTGATTACAACTGGTTTCAGCACCTTTTTATTAAAGGAGGGACATTAGAAAAAGACACTGAAAGATGCAGAGAATCTAAGTAAATAGGAACATCAGCAATAGATTATTTCAATAATTCCATATAAACGGTAAAACCCTTAGATTTTACAGACGCATAAGAGAAAAGAGAGAAAAACTTTAGGAAATGGGTTCCCATTACTAATAAACCTTAATCACTGAGATTATCAGAAATATTCGTTTTATGCCTCTCTGTGTCCGATGAGTCTATCCCAGTTTTACTCTGTAAACTAACAAAAAAAATTACACTACTTTGTACCAATATTCTAATGTGCTGGGGAAAACCGCAAAATGTGATCTTCCGTCAAGAACTGTACAGACTGCTTGGCGAATCTTTGGACAATCTTTAAGAAAAAGGTGAACAACAAAACTTGGAGGAACTACCTAGAACTACCTTGTTATGCTTTTTTTGTTTGTTTGTTTTTTACAGAGCTGAGGATCAAATTAGAGATAAAAATATGTTGTCAAAAGTTTTCCTACCAAAACAGAAAATAACATTGGTCAGTATCACTGCAAAGCTGAAAAGTTGAAAAAAGTTTGGCATTTGATAAAAAAAAAAAGAAGACAACATAAAATACTGAAACACTGCAGCTTAAGTTTTTTTTGAGACAGTAATTTATGTATAGTGATGGGAGCATGGTTGTTTGGTGAAAAAAGCTTTTTGCTAAAAACATTTAGATAAAAAAGAAGCCAAATGAAGGCCTAGAAGTGATCTTTATAACTGGAGCACCATTTTTTAAAGAGAACCAAGATAAAATTCAAGAAAAGACCAAACTTTGGAACCACATATTTTGATAAAAGTGGAACAAATTTTAGAAATAAATCTTGGTTTTCTTTCCATCTGCTGTGAAGGTTATTTAACTGGCTGCCCAAACCACATGCAGGAAATGAAATGCAGCAACTTTTTAAAATGAAGGCCCATGTTAGAATTCCCCTTACGGCTCCCCAAGGCTGGAGTCTTAATCATGCAGACTCAAACAGCAAGGTTAGGAAGAGAAGAGAGCCAGCGATGTTACCCGACCGAAAAAAAAGGGGAGAGGTAAATGGAGGGGGGGGGGGGGGGGGGGGGGCTTACCATGGCTTCATAATCTTCTGAAGTTTCTGATAGCGCCTGCAAAGATTTCACAAGATGTCACAGAGGGGAAACAACATAAAAACAAAAACTAGAGATGGCACAGAGCAGGCGACAACACTCTTAATGCTCTCTTCTTGCAAATCAAAACAGACTTTTTTGTTTAATTTAAAATTTTAAGGCTAAACAAAACATCTTTGACCTGATAAACCTGCTGTGATATTGAAAGCATGCAAAGCAAAATCAGATGAAAAGGCAGTCTGCGGTACATTTTATTTTACAAAGCAAGCTTAAAAGCAACATTATGCTGCAAATGTCCCAAAAAGGAAAACAGACAACAACAAAAAAAGGATTTGCTAGAAAAAAAGATATACAGAAGTTAACAGTGACTTATAATGGGTGGAATATTTTATATTGATTTTAGGCAATTAATTACCCTTTTTTTTTTTTTTTTCTTCCCAGTGCAGAATGAACTTACAACATACAACTTCAACAATTTCAAAAAGCATGTTTGCTGATTTATTGTTGCTTTCTTTTCCAAGAACGACAAAAAAATTCAGGCCACATGACTTCTGAGGAAATTTCAAACAGTTAGAAAAGCCAAAGGGTTTTGTCAACAATGACACGACATGTGTTTGGATTAATCCAAAGGCTTTCAACCACAGAAACATTGAAGAAACTGTAATTCAGGGTGGTGGCAGCATTGCGCTCTGGGATTATTTTGCACCAACTGTTACCTGTGTGAGAGTGGTGGAATATAGGAATTCTTCAACTCAAATCAACAACAATATTAACTGTGACTATCGGGCGTCTGACAAAGATTGCGATCCAAACAACACATCTTGATTTTTATGGATGTCTTAGAATAGATAAAGGAGAGGAATATTTAACTTGTGAAATTCAATCAAAAACAAATCAAAAAGTTAACAACTATCATCAAAACCAGGGAACCAAACATTTCAAATTAACATGTCAGATAAAATATCCACAGCACTAAGACAGAAGCTTTCTGACAGCACCAGAAAGGGTGTAAATGAGGTCTACTTTCTTAACAGACATTTAATGAAAGTTTAGTGCATTCTTTCTAAAAACTAAGACTTGTTTAACTTCCCATGCAGAATAACCCCCCTCCAAATTTAAAGATAAATATGTTGTCAATGTGATTAGTCCACATTGAGTTGTACAGTTGACATAGTACAAATAAATGGCATAAATTATCCTGAATTAATTAACTTTAAGCGTAATTGTATTTTACTGGATTATTCAAAGCTAAATCTTTATTTAAATAATGTTTTTTGACAGACTTAAAGCATTTACAGTGAATTATCAGTTTTATTATGTGTGTTTTGTCATGATTGCCTGCAAAACAAAAAAGAAATTGACAAAAAAAGTATTTCTTCTAACAAAGTATCCATTCAACACAATACAACAGCAACATGTAAAATTATGACCACATAACATGTCCAATAAACATCTGAAGGAGCCTTTGGGTTTATTCTCTGCATAGCATATTTTAAGGCAAAATCAATATTCTGTCATAAAGTCAGAGTTAAATTAAAATGAAAAATTTAAATTTCTGACAAGGAGGCAGACATCTTGGAATTAGTGAGGCTTTAGCTACTGAGCAGATAAAATGAAATCCATGTGCTTCAGAGAAGAGGCTGCCACATTAATCTTTAGTCCGGGTCACTTCAACATGATCAAAACTTTAAAGGGGGCCTTTTGAATCTGTATAAATTAAAATTTTAAGTAAATAATTGCATCAACAAAGAGCACACTGCCAGCTATTAAGCAATTCTAGCTACTTTGTACATTTTAAGTTGATAAATGTCTCTATTTTATGAGATGATGTGCCTTGCTTGGCTTTTGAGGAACATTTTTGGCCTGTGGGCCTCAAGTTTGCTCTAGGATTTTTTATCTTATCATGGTTTAAGGCATCTAAAAACCAAAAACCAAGACAAACTTATGATATTTTTTCATTCCGTGTTTTATCAGTAGAGGGAGACCTCTCCTCATATCTCTGGATGGCAGCATCCCACCAGCTGATTTCCACATGAATACAGTGCATCCTGCTTTGGGAGAAGCATGGGATCAAACAGCGGCTCTGCCCTCAGGAGTCTTGAACACTGCGCCTCTTGAATAATTACAGCTCACCAAGTCCTCTGCACACTAATGAGCATGTGTTTGTCTTTGATATCCATCTACATTTCTGTGTCTAATAAGCTCCTTTTGTTGAGATGAAAATGCATCAGAGGCACTTGCTCTGCTCCTTTACCCACACACGCATTCATCTCAAACAGTCTCGCTCCAGCTGAATAACTAATGTGGTTATCTACATAAAAAGTATACAGTATATAATCAAAGAACCAGGAGCAATGTGGAGTTAACAACTGGGCTGCTGTAAAAGCTCTGTGCAGTAACATTGAATAGAGCCAAATATTCCATCATTTTGAACTTTACACTTCAAAATGAGAGGGGATTTTCTGTGCAACTGAACAGGTTGATAGCCAGAAATGGGAGACCATTAAGGTGTTTCAGCAGAAAGGAAGTAATTTAATTTTCTGACCGCAATTTGAACCTCAGTGTACCTAGAAAACAAAACTAAATTACAGTGTCATTCTAAAACGGTTACCTTTGAAAGATTCACTGCCCAGTGTTACAGAACCTGACAGCAGGTTTTTCTGCTCCATGATCGCTTAAGATTTTCACAGCACAGTACATGTTTGACGTTGCATGATTGCGTTTTTTTATTAACTTAAAAACCAAAACAATTCAATGAAGACTAAAAAACAGCAACAACAAAAAATGTCACCTCAGCAAAATAAAGTAAATAAATTAGTTTAATTTAAACCTAAAATGGTTTCAAGAGTCACCCCTCTTCTACAGTATAGGACACAAAACCTTTAAAGATCTGCAGGGAGGTTCTCTTTTCTTAAGTAAAATGGCTACAGGACAACTTGCAGCGGCCATTAAGTTCACAGGACTGTTTCTCCACACTTCCTTTTCACACCTGGATAGCACCTTAAAGCTGCTATCTTGCCATTTACACTGGTGTACTGAAAAACACTTCCTCCATTGGAAATTAAGGGGATTTTGTGGAACATCTATCTAATCCTATAACATCTTTGACGTGTGGGTCTTTCTTTGACGTTTTTTAAGAGTGTTGAAGGATGAAATACGGTTATTATCCCATATTCAATTAAATTACTTCTCTATTATTTATATTTGTGGTCAGTTGACCACCTGAAAATGAAATTTCAATGCTCAGGAAGAGCAACCAAGGAGTGAGAATATAACTTTAAATTATGAATTAGCTTATGCTATCAGTTTAGTTTTTTTTTTTTAGTTTCAAGCATGTGGCATGCTAAGGTGAGTAAATATGTGCACACTAAAATGTAGCATCAATTCACTGCTACAATATAGTTCCGGCTAACCTACATACGGACATGCTTTTAGATCACTGCACAGAAAACTCCTTTGGTCAAATTAGATTCAGTCTTTCCAACAGATGCCATCATTTTTGTCCAGGCCTGTTTCATGAGTTTATTTATTTTTTTATCCTTCTGTTAAATCATGTCTTAATTTTCATAGATTTTTTATTTATTATTACATTTGGCAGATTCAATTTATTTCTGTGACCATTCCGTGCTTATATAATATGTTGATTGTCCGTTTTTCTATTAAGTTAATCATTAAAATATACATTTCCTTTCATAGAAGGAGCATCTGAGGAGGCGAGATAGTTTGACTTACTCAGTCCCACTCTCCACCATCTGAGTGAGCAGCGAGATGCCGTCCAGGTTGATGAACTCCTGTGCAAAGGTGATGTCCCGGGACGCATTGGCCAGGTCTTTCAATGCCTCCAGCTTTGCATCCATGCTGGATGACTGAATCCGTTCATGAAGCTGGAGGGCCGTCTGGTACTAGAGGAGAAAAAAATATATACATACATTGTGAATTCAAAGAAAGATTCAGCGTATATCGAAGTAATGTTCTTTAGAGAAGTTGAAACTTACAGGAGAAGTTGTGAGGCGCAATATGGAGCCATTTTTGATGTCATTGCGATTCTGTGGAGGATTTCCAACAGGCAAGCATAAATTAGCATGCAATAGCTGCTTTTTCCCCCCCCAGATGGACTCTGTCATGAAAAATGATTACCAAACCTTTTCTGTGATATAGAAATTTGTTGCATCAGCAATCTGCAGAGCAAAGGTTTCATGGTTCCCCAAAGACCACCTTAAAAAAAGGAATTAAAAAAGAAAGAAACACTGTAGCTGATATTAAGAAGTCCTAAACAAATTGAGTAAGACTTTAAATAAAGATAGTGAAAAATTGATATTTTGAAATAACTTTTAAATGCATAGACCAGACTTACCCCTCACACACTTCTTTTATAATGGCCGAAAGAGGCTTTTTCTGTGGATTAAGAAACACATTAAGTTCTCAGTACAGACTAAAATTCCACTCAATCCAGAGTGGGCTGCAATTATTTCATACTGCAGAGCTGGAACAATGGGAGACTATTCCTTATATTCATCTTAATGATGGTGAGAGTTTGTGAACCATGTGTATTCTATTATTCCATTTCTTCAATTACCGCTAAATCAAAATAGCTTTTTCAGGCTACAGCAGTGGAACTCTGCCTCTACAGGCATAATTAAATATTCTTGATTATGTTTTAAAGCTTTAGTTGATCTAAACAGCATCGTGAAACTCACCGAAACTTCTCAATTCCTCACAGAACTTTACAAAAGAAAAAAAAAAACGGTTGAAAGTTAAACATTTTTCTTGATTTAGAATAGGGAAAAAAGTAGGAAACAGAAAGATCATAATTAAGTTTTACACTTTTGTTTCTTATAATTTACCCTATAACACAAATGTGTTTGAAACCACACCATCACAATCCCACATGGACGTCAACCTAAGTTATGTTTGCAGACATTTACAAATTAACATGACATTTCACATAAATGTTGTGTGCCTAAATATAAATTTGAGCATGGCCGTCATCCCTTCACTGAACCCATGGTTCCTAAATATTTTTTCCCTTGAAAACAAATCCCGGCACACTTAAACTGAGACTAAGAATTACAGTATAAAAGCTTTAAATTTGGAACAGACAATCCAACGCAGACTCATATATTACTGTAGGACGCTTTTAGAAGGAACTGATTTTATCAAGCATCAACACTTTATTAGAGTTGAGAAGGCATTTAAAAGTTAATATATAAACTTAAGCTTCTAGAATGTATTTTATATGAATGTGGTATCTCTGTTATATACATAATACTGTTTGTTAAATAACATTTTGGACAATTTAATATTTTTTGCAAAATGACTCATTCACAATTTAAAGTTCAGACCTCATAGATATCCTCACAAGCTGTTTAAGAACCATGTATCAAAGAAAGAAAAAATGCAGACAGGTGTGCATTTTTGTTTAGACACAGCAACATTTCATAAGGCAACTGGTGTTTATTGTTTATTGTTGGTAAGTGGGTAGAGTGGGGTGCAATAACAACAGAATTTAGACCGTGAAAGGGGTTGAGATTTACGCGCAGATTAAATTTAAGCAGTATATTTAACATTTAGATGACATGATGCAACAGGATTATAACCCTGAATGTCTTTAATTCTAAAGTTTTTTTTACTTTTAATAGTAAAAAAAAAATATAGTTTTCCTTCAAAATCACTTAATGAATTCAAATTCCTTTAAACCTGAACAGAATAATAGACAGAGTTTATTTGTCATTTTGTTTACTCAAGTGTAAAACAAAAAGAAATTTCGTTTTGAACACCTCTCTCTGGACAATTTCATCTTTTTAAAAGTGCAGCCTTGAAAAATAGTAAAATAAAATAAAAATTTAAGTGATAGCTTGAATTATATGAAGTTATATCCAGAGAAAGCTATATTTGAACCTCAGATTGATTGTGCTTAGATGATCACCGTGCAACACAATTCTACCTTGTACAGTACAGTACTGCGTGTGCCGAAATACAGAGCAATGAGATGAGACGACACCAGAAATAAGGCAACAAGTTTGGGACCAAAGGAGAAATGAAACTATTACTTTACTTTATACATTGAAGGGCTATCTGTTCCTCACAGTTTTTAGATTAAGTAAAACATTGCAGTGAAACAGACCAAATGAATGATCTAATGCAGGGACTGAAGCGATGCACCGATAGAAGGATTGCTGCAGAGTCAAATACAAAATGCAGGCGAATGCCTACTGTCGCCACAAGCTCCTCCAAGAGGAGCGATTCCTGCAGTCAATGACTCAGTGCATCAGCTGGGTTCCCTTATATAGAAAACCTTTAAACAGTCTGACTGAATGATCTGGCTGAATTACATCTTCAAAGTGCCTTGCTAATTGGGAATTGAAACATTGAATGGAATATGAATATTTGGGACTATATATCAATATTTGAAATCTCTACTGCTGTTCTGGCTGATTACCAGTATTGATATTATATGTATTGCAAATATTTCCTTTCTTTATGCACTGTGAAATAAAAAACCTTCCACGCTGCTGACATTTCTTCTCTATCTCAGTTAATCACTCCGCAATACTGGGCTAAATCATTATCACTTTTATATGCCCAAACAAATAACACACGGCCAACCGCTCCCCTCCTGAAACAAACAGCTATAAGATCTAAGTAAAAATCAGTTTTCAATATTAGCCCAGTTTTAAAATTTAAACTGAGTCGGATGTGTTAATAAAAAATGAATAAGAGCGGTCTGATCAAAGGTATAGAGGACTATCATTTATTTCGGGTGGATCATCTAAATAAGTGGTGCTCCTGATTTTCAATCATTCTGGTGATATGTTTACTTAAGGCCGTCCTACGTGCTCGTCCCCAGTTAGCTTTTTCTTTCTGCGCATGCACACTTTCAGGTGTATGTATTGGTGAGCTACAGTTTCAGCCAGTCATTGAAGCTCACCTTTCTCACAGCGGTTCTTTGAAAATGGCCGAGGGTCGTAAGAGAAAAAGTGACCACGTAGTGTATGAGAAGGGAAAAAAAGGCCTTAGAAGAGGCAGATATAAACCGAGGTATCTCTCCACGCAAAGCATTATGGGATTTGCTGTCACAGCGGCCCGCTGTCACCATACGCTGCCACTACCCGACAGCGGCGACTAATAACAGATGGCGCAGGCACCGCTTGGTGAAGGAGTTACGTGACCAATGGGGAGTAAAAGCAATTATCAGTCCAAACGGTAAGTTAAATGAGTTCACTATAAAGTCCACTATATAGTCCCTGCTCTATATAGTGATTAAGGGATCTAGGGGTTAGGGCGGACAATCAGACACAGTAAGCTTGTGTTAAATATGAGCTATGAGTGCAGCAACTTTTAAACAGAGTGTGCATGAGGAGAAATAGGCTTGTGCATACTGTTGCACGTGTTCAATAGGCGTTCCCTCTCGGGAGCAGGCACAGGGTTGTGCATGTGTATTTTTTTTTTGGTGGGCAAATCTTTCAACAACAAAAAATCACGAAAATCCTATAGGTATAGTGGCTATAAAGGTATAGCCACTATACCTTTAATTGCTCAAAAGAACAAACAAGAACATGCTAATTGACAGCTGACATAATGGTCTATGTATCAAAGTTGTTGATATGATTTTTTTTTGGATATATTTAAGTGGGAAATATTAGGAACAAGACTGGCGATCTGTCCAGGGTTTGTCCCGCCTCTCGCCCGTTGACAGCTGGAGATAAGCACCAGCACCCCTCGCGACCCCGCATGGGATAAAGCGTGACGGAAAACGGATGGATGGATATAAGGAACAATGATAAAAAAAAAATATAAGTGTTAACCCATGTGCACTGAAATAAGACCTAGTAGTTGTTGGTGAAGTCATTTGGTTCAACCAGATAAATAGTAATAAAAATACTGACAAAATTATCACTGTGCTCACATAAACAATTAACAGGACAACAAAAACCAAAAATGAATTTATGCACACCCGCACTTATAAATGAACAATGTTTGGTTGGACTCAGACGAGTCAAGAAGCAGAAGCCCACTCCTCATCGCATGACTCAGACAGCCATATGCTACGGCAGGGACTATTGTAAAGAGGAAGAGGAGGAGGAGGGGACTGATGGTGGAGGACAAGAGAAGAAGAGGAACAACACAAGTTTCACAAACACAACACAAAGAAAGGAGGAGGAGTGAGTGGGGGAATGAATGAGAGGGAGAGGCAAAGAACGACAAGAAGGAGGGGAAAAGAGATGGGTGGAACAAGAGAGAGATGACAGCTCAGAGATTTGGAGAAAAGTAGAGGAAGGGGCTATGGAGGCAGGTTCAATAAATAAAAAATTTACTAAAGCCAATTTGCTGTATGAAAAAAGAAGCTCATAAAACATCTCAACGCATCCTTTCATCTACCCTCTCCAATTTGTTAAACGAATCACAACAAAACCAGAAGCACAAGTACTACATAGTTCAATGCTTCATTCATTGGATTATCCAATGAGAAGAGCCATTTGTAGCGGCAGTTGCCTCAGTGACGCATAGCTTGTACAGTAATTAGCCCATCTGTGAGTCACACATACACACATGCAGGCATAGCCAGAAAGGCCACATTACACATTGTATGTGAAATCAAACAGCAACCATGCCTACTTTAAGCGAGGTAGTCATTATTAGGGCTAATTATTTTATCACGCCGTTAGTCACTGTTTTTCAGACAGCAAACGTCAGCCGACATTCTGAGCAGTTAATATGATCATAATAACTATTTAAGAGGGGTAAATAATCCTCTTAGATTAGGCAAATAAAGCAACGCGATTATATAAAATGTTTTTTAGGAATCTCATGATTGAAAAATGCATATTTTCATTTAAACACAAACGCTTCTTAGTCCAGCCGTCCTTGCAGCAGCAATTCAAAATGACACATTTATAGTTCAGTTTAGTTAGAATATGATGTAATATTTGCAGCTATTTCATGAGAATAAACGTGATAAATGTTCATATATTTACAACAAATGGCTGACAGACATCACCAGACTTGTTGCATTAAGACCAACTGCAGTGCAGACTTTAATGTAGAGCTCAACGTTTGATTACTGGGATTAAGGCTTTTATTTGCTATATGTGTTCTCAGATATTACTATAAACATAGACCTCTTATGGGTATTAAGGAATACATATGTTATAACAGCTTATACTTTCTTATAGAGCCTAGTCCTTATAGAAAGAGCCCAGAGCTGAAATTAGTTTTCTCTAGCTGTGTGAAGTATAGAGTAATGCAACATTACCCCTCTCACACCTGTTCCTGTACTCGACAGGCAAGCTTTTTCTTACTTCAAGGTAAAGTGGAGGATTTTCACAAATTGTTGAAAAGACCCACCCTCTCCACATTAATAAAAATGCACATGCACAACCCTGTACCAACTCCTGATAGGGAACGCCTATGAAACGCGTGCGAGAGCATGCACAAGCCCATTTCTCCTCATGCACGCTCTGTTTAAAAGCTGCTGTTCTCATAGCTCATACAAGCAAACTGTGTCTTAACGTCCGCTCTAATCCCTCGATAACTATATAGAGCGGGGAGTATATAGTAGACTTTATAGTGAACTCAGTTAACTGACCCTTTGGTCAAATGATCACTGCTTTTTGCTCCCAGTTGGTCACATAAATCCTCCACTGAGTGGTGCCTACGCCATCTTTGTTATTAATCACCAGTGTTAGATAGCGGCAGCCTATGGCTACAGCGGGCCGCTGTGACAGTAAATCCCATAATGCTTTGTGAAGAGAGCTTTCCGCGCAAAGCATTCCAGGATATATCTGAGTCTACTGAGGCCTTTCTTTTCTTCTCATACACTTCGTAAACACTTTTTCTCTTACGACCCTCAGCCATTTTCAAAGAATAGTGGTGAGAAAGGTGAGCTTCAATGACTGTCTGAAACTGTAGCTCACCACAGATATATGCCCAAAAGTGGGGATGTGCATAAAAAGATAGCTAAGGGGATGACCCAGTGGGACGGTTCTATGTAAGCATATCAGCAGAATGATTGACAATTAGGAGGAACAGTTATTTTGATGATCCGCCCGGAAATGAAAGATCGTCCTCTATACCTTTAAAGACAAGATCAAATCAGCAGTTTAAAATTATTTCTCATCACTTAAAGAAGTCATCAATCATTGAAGAATGGCAACTTAAATAGCAACCCCCATTACTTTTCTAAAGGTTATGGTCTTTTGATACGAGTGAAGCAGCGAGATAATGATACTTTTCCTATTTTTATTTCAATACCTTGTCACACTGTGCGCAGCTCATAGCAGTAAGTGCCTGATGAATCAAAATAGCAGCAAGAGCCAATTAGAGGAAGCATGCAACATTGCTTAACCAGAAGATTCTGACAAAACTGACCACACTAAGATGAATTGTTTCTCTCATGAGGAATCACTCTTTGTTTAGTTTGAGCACAGATGCTCCACATCGTTGCATTGAAGCTGGGGCTAAAGGGTCTAACATTCAGCAGTTCCTTTACTCAAAATGACTCGTCTCAGCCAATACGCTGATCCTAACAATGTGCTCATCTGCGCCTGAGTGGGTGTTCAGTGGAGAAATGTGCACACCACCAGAGAACCAAACTTGTATTGTAAATCACACTGAATGAGAGGTTGAACATAACGTTTGTAATTTCTGTGTAGATGTTGTCCATTTACGAGGGAGTCACGCTTTCTGTTTTTGGCAACTTAATCACAAAACTCTTCAGAATTATTAGAAACAATTATATTAAGGTAATTAACACTATTAGAGCATGTAGACAAAAGATGGTAAGTGCTGGGTGGGAAAATAAAGATCAATCAAGGATGATCAGATGCAGTGTAAACTAACAAGGAAGTTCTGAAAATTTTGAATAAATTAAAAACAACCTCTGTGAGACTACCATGCCCTGTTAACTGTTGAAGATGCTATAGTTAGCTCTTAGTTTGTAGGTTCAAGATTTGCACAAAACATTATTCCGATCAAAGGACCGAATAATGCTATATTTGAAAGATACTTTTAGATTTATGAAACTTTTTTCTCCATTTATCAATTTCTGAAAAATTTTATTTCATTCTTGTGAATGTAATATATCTCTTTTTAAAGGAATATTAGGTACAAATCACGTGCAGTACTTTTATCTGTTACATTAGCACCGAACTGGATTTATAGAACAATGTTATATGCCTATTTACGACACTCACCTGGTCTATCTCCATGAGCTTAGGGAAGGCCCCCGGCCACTCAATGGCCACCTTGACGATGTCTGCCGGAGGCGGCATGGCTGCCAGGAGAGTGCTGGGTGCGAGTCTCGCTGCCTCACACCTCTGTCAAACACTTCTAAAGATGGTTCATCCAAACCTGCAAACAGAAAGGGGAACACATTAGGTGGTCATACAAGATGTGGTTTAAAGACATTTCTTTGAGCAGTGAGCAAATGCAGACAAGCGCAGAGCTAAAACATTCATGAGAAATAGACGCTGCATGTAATATTTGGCATGCACGTCACATTCGTTTTGAGCTTTTAATCGTGCATCTACGGTGGAATGATTGTATAACATGCAGTTTACACTTTAACAATATACTGACAACACAGTTTTCTAGTGATTGTAGATTTGCGCTAAACAACCTGCTCTTTTTCATCATCAACAAGCTTTTGACATAAATCAGGATTGTTCTCTGACCAAAAGCTGCTTTCTATGTAGACCGCTTTACATTTGAATCATATTTATTATGGTTCGAGCTTCAACAGACATAGTTTTCTAAAACAGTTTTAGATGAAAGTTGGGTATCATTGAGTCCAAGTCTCAACCACTTCATCCTAACTGTTAAATATAAAAGAAAAGAAGCAGGTTGTGATGGAAGAGTGACCCACAGTCAACAAGGTCTAAAGATAATCACAGATCTGAAGAAGCAAATGTCCCTAAATGTGATTAAAATTGTGGATTCGGAGTCTGACGATCACAAACTGCAACCAAAAGCTTCTGTCCAAAACCAGCTCAATTAAGCTCACCTGTTATTTGGAGCTGCCCATTTTGAAAAGATGAAATATTTAATTGATAAAACATAAATTGTGTTTTTATTGTGATACTCATAATAATGATGAGGGTCATTATAAATGCCCATCTCTATTTAAATCAAAAGAAAATCAGTTGAACCTTAAAACAAACTGGGTGCAAAAGAGGTTAATCTGAATGGGTATGGAATGCACAAAGCAGAAGCCAACATGGGCTTCAGTAGTGACCCTCGAGAATGATCAGTGCTCTCACCCTCAGGTGTCTGTGCCCAGAGACCAGATCATTTAGATCAAATATACAAATTCTAATAAGAATAATAAAAGAAAAAAAGAAGCCAGAATTATGCAAGAAGCTTTCTGTCTGTTGTATTATGCTAAATGCCATTTGTCAAAAAAATCTGGCAGATTCTATGTATATATTTGTGAAATAAAAAAAAGAAAAGTTTATGAAATCTTTTCTCTTTAAATATAAATACACATAAGAATATAAAGATGAGGGTAGTTTTTTTGGCATTTTAATGTTTAGAAAAACTGCTGAGCTACAGATGTATGCACTGGCCGAGTTTTAATCAAATGCTTTTTACAAAAACGTAAACTTTTCACACATATTACTCACATAAACAAATAGACTCTATAAAACATACCTCTACTGCCAAACAATGATGTTATGATAATTGGACTCAGATTCAGAGGAGTGACAAAGCTAACAAAACAACATTGCTGCCCTCAAAGGCAATAACTGAACACTGGACTCGTAATCCAGGGTTACTCCAGTGGTATTTAGGACACTTTAGAGGGTACAAAGTAGCACAATAGGTGGTGCAGGTGCCAGCAGCATGTCTGACCTGAAAAAATCCCCAATGGATTTCCAAGATAAGCCAGTTAGAAGACCCAAGTTGGAGATCCAGCCAAATCACAGCCACTCTGTAAAGCGGGGCTTTGTAAACCTGTCTGTAAGTTTGCAGAAGGTTTTCTAATGGAACTTACTCCTGTTCACAGTCTTGGGAAAGTGGAGGTTTCATATAAAAGATATGATCTATTATTTATAAAGTACGCCTGTTTAGAAAACTTGGAAGATCCAAGTTTCTGTTAAAGCACTGGGTTTACTTTTTCCATCTTAATCCATAATGCATAAAAACTGCCTGAGACTAGCTTCTAGGAGAGTAACACTGAGCATAAAGTTGTACATTTTGATGCATAAATCCTGCATGCATGTGCACAGAGCAAGTGGTGGAACGTCTCCATTCATGACACACATGTCACAAAAATCCTCTCCATCTGGAGTCTACGCTCTACTGAACAATCTAGACCGCTTTTTGTAAATGTACAATAATTTAATGACAGCATACAGAATAATAGTCCTCTGATTTGGTAGGAGTCCCCCCCCCATAATATTTGCTGCAGCCTTAATTCAAGGGGTTGTTGTCATGGCAGCTGCTGCATCAATAGCTTAAGATCTGGATGCGATTTTCTTTCTAAAAATGACTGGCATACTCAAGTCGCATCTGCCACAACTCAACCAAAATGAGTCATTCAAGCTCTCCACTTTGAATCTCACCGCTGAGATATGAATGACTTATGCTCATTCAACAGAAGATTGGTTTTATAAAGTACATTAAAAACTTGGCGCTCTACAAGCGCTTAGCATATGGGAGGTTTGAAAGGTTGTATTTTTACCATTTTCTCTTTAAAAAAGCACTTCCTGGTAAATTCAGACAAATTGATGATAGAAAACAAACAGATAGATTCTGTATCATCCCAGCAGAATTAACACGCTCCATGTCAAATATTTAATCTCAGAAAAATTAATGCAGCATCATTAAACACTGTTGAACCCTTCTTCAATTTATTTACATCACCCAAGTATTGTAAACCAGGTTAAAATCGAAAAAAGATTGCCTAAGATAAAATTAGTTTTTTATTGATGAGTAGATTCACTAGTAAAACCCTGGCTCTATATACAATATAAAACCCACGTTTGTCATATTATATATAATCACGTTTTAGTTTAACTTAAGCAGCCAATCTTATTCTGATCAACCTGTAAAATAATAATGACACTTAAATGGTACTTGCTTGGTAACGTGAAGTAGGCTAAGAGTAACAGAAAGTCACAGACCCTCTAGAAGAGGAATATCAAGACAGTTTACAGCTACAAATGAAACAAGTCACAAATCAGCCCAGAGGAGTTTGTAAAGACAGTTATAAGTGTTGAACCGTCTTGCAGGCCAACCAAAATATACTCGGTAATAAACTGTCAAATCATGTAGGTCGTCATTAAGGAACCAGGAAACACATTAGAAGCACTTGACACCAAAGAAGCCTGCATTAAGGACACATTTTAAGACTTAATAGGAAAGTGATACTAGAGAAAATGGCACCAGATTTCCAAAGCAAAAAACACTGCTGACGAAAATGAACCCGAAGGTGTGACTCATCTTTGTCGAAAAACATGTCAATGTCCACTAAGACGACATATATTCAATGGAGTAATCAATAAGAGACTTCTTGTGTCCCACCGCCTCAAATATAAGACTCACAGTAGTTCAGAAAAGTAACATTGTAGCACCAGTCACAAATGGTGGTAGGGTAATGGTCTGGGTTTGCTTTGCTGTTTTAAGAGCTGGAAAACTTGCCATAATTGGATCATTAACAAAATATGTCCTGTACAAGACACAGTAAGAGAATATCCAGCCATTAGTTATGATTCAGAAATGCTCACAAGTAGTTTTACCCAAATCTGTAAAGTTTCAAAGGGTGTAATGAAAGCAGAATAATTAAAAACCAAGTCTTGGTTCTGGTATAGTCTCAAATTTCTATTGACTGAAGTAAACCTTTTCTAATCAAATTCAACACATTTTGTGAAGTTCTAAACCTGAATTTACACCCCGTTTAACTCTAGTGCAAACTTCACTGCCCACCATATTTACACTGCATCTGCTCCGATTCGGTGCAAAGCCCAGAGGTGCTCCAAAGAGCATGTGTATCTCACACAATAAAAGCCAGTGATAAATGCCAGAGTCAAAAAAAAAAAAAATAAATGAATTATTCTATGGATTCTTAACACTTAAAACTGCTTCACTTTTTGTTTTTGTGCAACCAGTTATATTCTACAACGACTGAGGTACACTGAGGTCAAAGAATCCCTGTCTTTTTCTAAGTTAATATAAACAGCCCAGTAGATGATCTAATGTAAGCAAATGCATATTTATATGATATGAAATCTGTTAGTATATTGATTTCTTGAATATAATCTAGTCTGTCTTAACTGAATCGTTTAAAATGTTGATGTTGTGACTATTCCATTTCTATTTAAAATTAAAAGAACTGAATTTAACACTTTTTCAGGTTATCCAATGTGTGACAAAAAAATTTAACAAAAAAGCAAAGACAGTTGAAATGTATAAAGGAGTAAAAACCTTTTATTGTGCTCCACATCTTAGTTAACATAAGTGGTGCCATATTCATACACGCATGCTGACTCACTCACTCAGTTTCAGCAGACAAAACATGGTAGTCATTGATATGCAGACACCTGTGTGTCCAAACAAAGAATAAAGACAAAGAGAAAGTGACCGAAAGCTGTACCCTCTGTCATGGTTGGCCAAGATTTAAGACATGCTGTAAGCAACAGTTCCAGGGATTGGTCTGATCTTTGGTTCACCACTTTAAATAAAATGAATGCAATTCTAAGAATGCAATTCTAAGAAATGCAAGGCATTAAGAAGATAAATCAAATGGACCAAAGGGTATTCTGTTTTGTGTGCTAAGGGTTAATGTTTCAACAACTACTCAGTGGGCAGAACGATTTTCAGAAAACACATTTATGATTATGTGTTGTCACAATCAGAGACAATATTCTCCATACATTGGCCATTGTGTCAAACTAGTCCTCCCATTCTCATCAGTGCTGTTCACCCAATGCTTTCTTCTTCGCAGACATGGCTATGCATCTAAATTCCAGCAGATTAGAATCTTTTTTTAATCAGTCAGACTACCTTCCCATTCTTGATAACAGTACCGGTTTAAGGTCACTAAAATACCCTTCTGTTGCTGCTCTGATGCTTACTTTGCACTGCAGTATGTGGTTTTCATCAGTTTTACAGGCATTAATGCATTGAGCTGCTGCTATGATTCACTATTTTGTTAACCAACAATCAAGTAGCTGTAACTAATACAATTAGTGTTTTTGGAAACTGAAGGAGCAATATCTATTACTCTGTTGAGGATAATACAGATTACCTGTAGGGCTGTCAATTAGAAGTTAGTTGCTTGAGCAGGCAGCCCAATAAACCAGCAAAAACAAGTTTGCTATTCTTTTATTACTGCATAAAGAACAGAAGGA